TACTGTACTATTCTAAAATGTATATACACTGCATTTCAAGTACCTTTGCTATCACTCTCATATGCATTCTTATTTACCTTCACAGTAAAGACCTCTGTGTGAATTCTGCACTAAAAACAATTTCCTTACCTCAACTTCAAGTTAAGTGTAAGGTTGATATGAGTTCAGAGGTAACTCACTGGTGCTTAACAAAACAAACAAACAAAATAGCCAAATTAATCAAGTTAATAAAAATTGCTAAGAGTTCAATTATCCTAAAATAGAATTTTATCATTTGCTGAGTTAATTTTTTTCTTTTTGATTTAGTATGAATTCTTAGTGAATAAAAACCCTTATGTTAAGAAATAAGACCAAAAGAGTGCCTTCACATTTATCCATCACTACTAATGAAGAATCAATATATTAAAAATAATCAATAAATCAATATATCAATTTTTAGCTCTCAAACTTTGGTAAAGAAACCAAAATTATGTTAAGCTTCAAGTGCTAATAATGACTGAAGTATTTTAAGCGTCTCAAAAATGAAGATTGTTTGGTTTTCGAAATGGGTTTGATATAAGACTTTTGCTCCATTCGTTTACAAGGCAGATTTTCTCCTTTCTCTTTTTCAGGCTCACAGGCATGAACCTTCCTTCTCCTGTTATCAGCAGCAAGAACTGGTTACGACTCCATTTCACATCGGACAGCAACCATCGACGCAAAGGATTTAATGCTCAGTTTCAAGGTAACTACAGAACCAGGGACAGATCATATCTAATTTTTTTAAAAAATATTTAATTGTGCTTAAGATACTATTATTATTCTAAATTGTATAAGCACTGCATTTCAAATCTCTTTGTTCTCACCAATCATCAGTCACATATGCATCCTCATTTACTTTGACAAAACCTTACTTTGATTTGAGATTTTAAAATCTTCTTGCTAAGGATGGTACAAGCCCTATAAGTTTGAAAATATCTTTTATATAATCTTTGGAAATTACATAGGTAATAACTAGCAGCTTATTAATAAAGCTTTATTACTGTAACAATACCGATTTTTAAATTTTTTCCACAGTTTCATTGCGTTTCTATCAGATATATATATATATATATATATATACATATGCATACACACACACGTACGCACACAAACACATACACACGCAAACATGCGCGCACGCGCGCACACACACACACACACACACACACACACACTCATATATACCAGCATCACTATAAACATGTACACCTAAATAGTTAATAGCCACAGTAGCCTGAGTTTTCTTTGTATCATTTGCTACGAATGATTTAGAGTACAGGCTTCACTGATAGGCACAAACTAATCATATCACCTTTAGTCCTAAAATGTAGTCATGTTACATATGTCCAGTTACTTGATTTATTGTTAACACATAAGTGAACCTCAATAAAAACATGCCAGATGTTTTATAGCTTAGCAAAAGCAGTTTCTTTAGCTTACTAAAATGTAGATTCAGTTCTGAAATTTTTTCTTTGTATATCATTTGTAATGCTTACATTCATAAAGTGCTATGTCCAGCTCTTTATTTTCTAATAATCAATTATCCTTAATAATATAATAAATATTATTCAATCTCTTAATGGTTTCTTTGAAAATCACTCCATTCATGTTTGCAAATAATAAGTCTGTTCCAAAGAAAAGACTTCTTTCTATCTAAAGCAATATTTCTGCCTAAACTAATTCTTCAAGTATCCCCTGAATCCTGAACAGGAGAATGTCAGTTCAGTTAAGGTGGTAAACCTAAGTTCCTGCCACATGTCAGTCAGGAAGTATGTACTTCACTTGACTTCAAAATGAGGACATGGTAACTCCTCCACTCCAGAAACTAGCACTTAGAAAGTGTGTGTAAATAATTCATGAAGGCAGCACACAAAGGAAATCATTGTATTTAATTAAGGAAATGTTAATGATATTTTAACAAATTGGAATATAAACATAGCTTAAACACCTTTTAAAAATCGCCATGTCTTTAATGGCCTCCTAGCAGGCAAATAGAAAAAATAAGAGACGTATTGGGAGGATTAAAGACAGGTTATGTTGAATTAACACACACACTAAAATGTGCTTATTTTGCTGCCTACTCTCTAAGGTAGATGAGCTTTAAAATCCAGATATAATTTTTGTTCCATTAAACTATATTTGGTACATCATCAAGGGCTTTGTTCATCTCACATTCTTTCTGATAAAGCCAATGCAGTTTTCGCTTTTATCTTTTTTGATGGCAAATACATACTGACCTGAAATTTCACTTTCTTCATAGATATCATACTAAAGTTTTTCTTTATTCTGGAACCTTCAAAATGTACAGATCTAGCCCTTTCACAGGCATTTATAATTTACAGTCATATATCTTAAATAATGGAGTCTTAATAAAATAAGCTTAGGTGGGGTAGGGGCAGAAGAAAGTACATGAGGCTACAAAAAGAGATAGTAAATTGAGTGATAAAAATGCCATGGAGTACTGTGGAAAATTTTAACTAATGTTTCTGTACAATATAATAATGTGTATTATTAAGTGATTGACTCCTGACTTAAAAGAATCATAAATAAGTATTTAGAATGGCAAGGGGTGGATGCAAAGTATAGTTAGATAGAAACTCAACCTAATGGAAATGGTTAATAATCTTAGCTACTAAATTAAAGATTAAAAGTTCCTGAGTTTCCTTGGAAGAAAGTGCTGGTGATTTACTTCCAAAATCACCTACTGAAAACATTTTTTTTTGCAAAAGAAAAATGCAGTAAGCATTTAAATCTTATTTTCCACACCTGGAATGAATACCAGACTCCAACTTGTGCTGTACTTTTACCAACAGAGTTGTAAAAAAATCCACAATAAAATACAACCCATATAGAAACATTATAGAAAAATAACAAAAAAGGGTACAATAACAACAAATGCCTTCAACTTGGAACCAATTCGTATCTAATCTTCCCACAGGTTTTCAGAGGCTATAAATCACCAGAGGAGATTGACAAGATAGTATTAAAAATTTAGTGTTCAAAGTGCTGCTTTTGTATCATTTCAAATATTCTGGCAAAATACTTGACCCTGATTGTTCAGAGGAATATCAGATATTTTGTTTTCAATATCTATACTTACTGCCTTTGTGAAATTACTATATGGTCACTTTTGAAAAAATATAGTCATTCTTCAGGATATAAAAATTCTACCAGATTTATATTGGTTATAAACATGATTACAAATTATTTTTTATTACCATGAAACTCCTTTGTGGTGCTTACACTGTTATGCAGCACCCTGGTAGCATCCCTTAATGAGAAATATTGCTTTTTTATGCAAGAATAAACTGAGGTATGGGGAATATTTTTAAAACTTCTGAATAAAGAATAAATTCTTTATTAAGTTTTAACTTCTTACCTTTCTTGGTGAAATAATCGAGTTCTACCACAGAATATTCCCTCTTCTCTTTCCCTTGTTTTTCGTTTTCATCTCGCAATACTTTATTCTTTTAATCTTGCACTTTTTTCTTTGACTTTTACCTCTTCGGTCACATAATCAAGTTATGCCAAAAGTACCATACGGCTTACTGACAAGAAAACTGCTCTATAGTTGCTATTCTGAAAATACATTAACTTTTAAAATGGCTTTGTGAACAAAAGAAGGGAAAATGCAATGTAACCTACTTGATGTATTTGCAATAACTCCTGTGTGTATTGAGCTTTCATGGGGTGATAGATTTATGTATGACACATTATTTCTTTAAACAGCTGAAAATTGAGTCCATTCTTTATATGTTGCCTCCATCATTAATTATAATTAAATAAGAGCCTTGTTAGCACAATCCATCATCTAGACATTTCTGAAGTCTACAAGATGAATTTTTAAAGTATAAATATTTATACATATATATTAATCTTGAACCATGAGAATCTCTTTACTCCTAAATAGCCATGTAAGTGCTGAGCACCAGTTTTGCATATGTTTGCCTGATGATTTATAAAAATATAATTTTCATAAAATGAAATCCTCATTGATTTCTGTTACTGATAAATCATTTTAAATGAAAAGTGTTTATAATAAAGTTCTAGTTTATAAAAGAATACTCATCTCATGAATCAATGGAAACTCAGACTATGGCTTTAAAACTTTTGTAGGCACAAATGATTAGTTTGTTTTAGTTTATACTTTTATACAACAATTCATCACATTTTTCTCTTTAAAATTGAGATTTTTTTTACATGAAAAGGATTTTTTTCTTTTTACAAAATGCACTTTATAGATTTGATAACTTCAGCTTCAGTTTTCACATTATTTCAAATTTGGATACATTTATGCACTCTCTATTCCTTGAACACATATTATCTACAACTTGGGAAAGAGCTGCAAAGTTTCCTCTATTTGTGGGTATAGAGTTAGGTGCCAACCCTATGCCAGGTGGATCTAATCTACCAGCTGCTCCATGGCATAAAGGCAATTTCCTCTCATGCAATTTGCAGGTTTTGAAAAACCTTTGGAGGATCATCTATGAGTTGATTTTGACTCATTCGCACGTAACAATGACTACTAATATAAAAGAGCTGTTGTTTTTGTTGTTATGTTCCTCTGAGTTGCTTGCAACTCAAAGTGACACTAAGCACAATCAATAGCTCTGAACTCTGCTCTATCATTAGCTAATCTCACTGTCTGACAGTCCTACTCTCATTACAATGTTGTGTCAATTCCTCTCTTCTGGAGTTTTGTTCTAGTGTGCTGTCCCTCACCATTCCAAACTGCACAGATTTTATTTTTCTGAAAGAGAATGGACTTTAATGTTAATGCCAAGTCTACTTTTTCTTTTTACTACATTTTTATTTTTTTTAACAAAAAAAATTTACTACGTTTCTACTTTTCCCTTTAGAAAGGAAAGTCATCTGAAAGCAGTAAGGTCTATTGTCTGTTGTTGCCATGAGGTGCCTTTGAGTTGAATACCACTCATAGTGACTCTATGACAACAGATCTGAACCTTGTCCTATCCTGTTTCATCCTCATCATCTCTGGCACACTGGAGCCCACTGCCGCAGTCACTGTGTCACTCCATCTCTCTCTGCGGCCCTCTCCATATCTAATCATAATGTCCATTCCCAAGGAATATGCTTTACTAGCAATTTACCCAAAGTATGTTGCCTTCATATTAAACTCAATATTTGTTCATGAAGGAAATCAACAGCTCATTCTCTCCCAGGGCTCCACAATCATGATCCTGAAAAGCAAAGGAAAAGTTATTAAATGTATTTTTACTATTTATTTAATTGGCGTCTTTTGTTTTCTACTACCTATAGCCCAAATCTCACTTCCATCTATTCGATTACCACTCACAGTGACCTTCCTTTGAGTTCCCAAAGCTGCAAAATCCTCATAAGAGACGGCCCATTTTTCATTTGTAGAGTGGCTAGTAGATTCAAGTCACCAGGACTTAACACCAGGACTTCTTCTCATCTCCCAAAGTGGCCATATAAACAGGCCTGGACATGTGTCAAATTCTTTCAATCAAAATAAATTAATTAAATACAATCTTATAGATTCTATAGAACTAATTACTAAAAAACCTAGAGGGAAAATTTTTAAGAAATATTAATTCTTTAATCAAATTAGAAATCTATGATTACTTTTTCTAAATATATGCTTAAATCTTTCTAAACGTAAGAATCTTGGAAGTGGTTGCTCCAATACTGTTTTGCAAAAGAAGCCTGTCTATGCAGTCC